GCAAGTGCAACTCCTATCTCTTTGAATGGGGAAACATCAAATTCTCCAAAACCGTTCGCCAAATTTAAGATTAAATTTCATATTGGAAATCACCAATGAAATCTGACAACGGTCTCATAAATGTTGTTTATTTTAGCCGTTACGCTTTTTCAGCTAATGTTTGCAGGCTTGCCTTCTAGTGGCTTTGTTCTAACCACGAGCTCGCCCCTCCCCACCCCCCAACCATTCGAATTTCTGTAGGCGGGAATTATTTGTAATGATATTCTAATGAGCCGCCTTGTGATATCACAAAGCCCGGAAAACAAACGCTGTAGTCCAAACGAGCCGTTCGTTGTAGTTCTTGAAAAGGGATTTTTAAAAAACGAAATGTCTCCCTTTGGAGTGGACTTTGAGATTTGTGACTTTCTAGATATTTTTTATTCCCAAACATACACACTACACACTGACTAAAATTAAAAAAGCATAATAGGACCCCTTTAAGCATTCAAATAAGCATTTTGACCATGTGTACTCTCCCTTTTAGCCTGATAACATACTGTTTGGTGCTGATGGCAAAGTGAAGATCGGAGACTTTGGGCTGGTGGCGGCTCAGACCGATCAAAATGGTGACCCTATAGAGAGGTCAAAGAGAAAAGGAACACCACCATATATGAGTCCTGAACAGGTGACACATTTTTATTGACACATCACATTTTATTTTTTAATTAATTAATACCAATAAGATATATATATATATATAATTGTTTACTTTAGGAAAATAAGAAGAATTATGATGAAAAAACAGACATGTTTCCTCTTGGACTCATATGGTTTGAGATGGTCTGGGAAATATCTACTGGTATGGAGAGAGTAGAGGTCAGTACTATTTCATGACAGTCATCAGTAGTGACTGTATTCACTGTCTTTACAGATATTTGCAAAAATGTTATCTTTAATTTCATTCATTCATTCATTATTTTTTTGGCATTGCAGCTGTGGCCAGATCTGAGAAATCAAAGGTTTCCAGAAGGGTTCAGTGACAAATATTCAGCTGAAGTAAGAAACTTGACTTTACCTTCAAATAAATATTGACTGGACCAAGTATCATTTTTTTGCTTCTTTTTCAGAGTACGTTCATCATGAAGATGCTGTCACATTCACCTGAGGACAGGCCACATGCAAAAGATATAAAAATAGATCTTAAGACTTTTTTCTCTCTGGAACAGGATCTGTTAAGCCAGAAAACAATTTGAGATTTTTGTGATAGAAACTGTCTCTGCAGTTGTAGTCGAGTCCTCTCGATTTAACGATTTACCACAGATTACTCCTGACAGGCAACAACTTGTTGTTTTATTCATAATTTAATGATTCAATTGATAATATAAAACATAAAATGTTGAACATTTGGGGAGTGATTTTATAAAAAATAATTTTTAGATTTCTACTAGATTTCTTCTAGTATATTTTTAATATTTCAAAAGTTTACTCTCATTTTGTTTTCATCATAAAAATACATCATAATAATGTTGTGAGGTTGCTTGTAGAAATACAGAATAACAGTTTCACAACATTTCTGTAATGTTGGCTGCATAAAATTAAGATGTATTTACATTTGATGTAATTGCAACTAAAAGATAATGTTTCATAATGTTTACAACATAATGTTGTAACTAAACTGCAACCAAAATGCAGTATTGTATAATATGAAAATATTTTGTGGTTGCTGGAATCATTGCTGCTCAAATTGACTTTCAGCCATCAGGTATTTCTTGACAAATATACTGTATATGTTGGGTGGAATAAAAAGAAAGTAAGAAAGAAAATATGTGTCATTAATATCATCAATATGAGTTCTGAAAGTGATCGCATTTCCATTAATGAGACACATATAGAGTCAAAACAGTATCATAATCTACCACACTTGCACAAGCAAGCAACAGATCCAGAAACGCACGCGGTAATCCTGAAATACATGCGAGATATGCAGGGCATCATTTCAGTACTCGGTGTATTTTATTGCTTTTCAAGTAGATTGAACATGAATGAAAAAAAAACAGCATTTCCTCTCCATCTGCATTACAGCAGCAGCATTACAGAGTATTAATACTAGTAAAACAACTAAAGATGACATTCTAATAGAAATATACAAAGCACTGCTAAACTTAGAAAAATTACAAAAAAATGTTAAATTCTGTTGGATACCAGCACATACAGCAGTTCAAGGAAAGAGTAGCGTGTTTAGGTACCACACAAACCATGCAATTGCTTGCTTAGGGCCCCCAAAACTCCAAACATGATCCCTGCAAGGAAATTAATTAGCCGACAAATTAGCGAAAAAAGTGTTAAATCATAATGACAAAATAGAGATTTCCCTTGGAAAAAAATTAAAAACATTCATTAAAAGCAACACTGAGAAACAAAGATTTGGGAATCAGATAATAAAGGAAGAGAATATTACAATATTCAAAAAGTAATTAAAGTTAAGTGGGCAGTGTGTGACAAGTTCAGTCACTGGCTTAAAGGCCATGAGTTTACTGTGTGGACGGATAATAATCCGCTTACATACATTATGACCAAGCCGAAGTTGGATGCATGTGAGCAGTGCTGGGTCTCGAAACTTGCTCCATTTTCTTTTGAGATCAAATATGTTCCTGGGAAACTCAACGTGGTGGCGGACGCACTCAGTAGGGATCCATTTGTCAGGCCAGTGAGTCAGCGGCTTCTGTCAGAGCCCTATTTTGAACTGTTAAGGCAAGTGCACAGTGTTGAGGATGGAAGTGTGCAAGAAGAGTTCCAACTTACCTGCCAACCGCAAACATTGAGATCAGGTCCACTTGACGTCAGGTTGAATACATCACTGTCCGCCGATGACGTGTCTTCAGTTCTGTCCTCCTGTGATGAGTGGAAAACAGTAACTGAATGTAGAGCAACATCATTCACTGAACATCTTAACTCTTTAATCAGCGGTGACGAAGAAGTGTTACATTCCCTTTCGCTTACCGACTTACGAGAACATCAGCACAAAGACCTTGTCATTGCCAGAGTGTGTTATTATGTTGACAGAAAGCATAGACCATCAAGACGTGAACCTGCCAGTGAAAACTGAAAACCTGTATGTGTTGTGGATTCTGAAGCAGTGCGACGAACTTTCAGTGCTAAATGGAATCCTGTACAGAGTTATTAAGACCCGCTCGCCAAGCACAAGAGATTTCAGTTCATTTTGCCCGAATCCTTAAAATGTCAAGCACTTTCTGGCGTTCACGACCTGGCTGGTCATCAAGGGCAGCCGCGCACTTTGTCTTTGTCCCGTCAGAGGTTTTTCTGGCTTGATATGGAGCGTGATGTGCAGGATTATGTGAAGAAGTGCCCCAGGTGTGTCTTCAGCAAAACTCCAGAGCCTGCAGCGAGAGCCGCCTTGGAGAGTATTAAAACCACAGCCCCACTGGAGCTCGTTTGCATCGACTTCTGGTCTGCTGAAGATCGGAACAACAAATCTGTGGATGTTTTAGTAATCACAGATCACTTTAAAAAGCTGGCACATGCATTTCCGTGTCAAGACCAAACAGCAAAAAGAGTGGCCAAGAAAGTGTGGGACGGCTTCTTCTGTGTCTATGGATTTCCCCAACGCATCCATTCTGACCAGGGGGCTTCATTTGAGAGTGAGCTGATCACTGAGCTTCTCAAACTGGCTGGCATCGATAAGTCAAGAACCACCCCCTACCACCCGATGGAGAATGGTGGTACCGAAAGATTCAATAGGACATTAGGTAACATGCTGAGGTCCCTTCCACCTAGACCTAAGCAGAAGTGGCCGCAGTTGGTACAGACCATGACATTTGTGTACAACTGTACAGCACACGAAACAACAGGTTTTGCCCCTTTTTACTTAATGTTTGGCAGAGTACCACGACTTATGTTCCAGAGTGTTCTGCGGGACAAGTCAGTTTGTGACTACGGCCATTATGTTGCATCGCTCATCAGTGACCTCCAGTCTGCTATGTCAGTGTCGCAGAAGAATTCTGTTCAAGAACAAAAACACCAGTCCAGCCAGTACAACAAAAGAGTTAAAGGCCTTCCTCTAGCCATTGGTGAGGATCTGCTGAGATCAGGAGGTTTGAAAGCCCATCAGATCGCCAGAGACCTGGGACAGTCGAGACAAGGCCTCAAGGTGTGGACTCAGAATAAGGAGTGGAGCGAGGAAAGTTCCAGCCAAGAGAGGTTTGTGTTATGTCATTAAAAACTGTGATTTATGAGTATTTGCATTTAGTGTGCCAGAATTTTGTATAATAATTTAAAATGATTTGTTTTTGATTAGTTCCAGTGATCATGCACTCGACTCAATTTCAGGGTAAGCATACTGGACCTGACAGTCTTGTGTCTTGTTTAATTAATTCAGATATAACAAAGAGAAATGTTTTAAATTAATGTTTTGTTAAAGGATAATGCATAATGATGTTCTGCTGTATATTGCGTTCTGACATGTGTGTACTGTGTGTATCATCTATAGATTGTCTCATAGCTTTGATGTGATTGCAAAGCTTGGCCAGGGAGCCTTTGGCTGCGTTTATAAAGTAAAACATAAATATGATGGCAAGATCTACGCTGTAAAGAGGGTGATCTTAACCAGGTAAGTTTATACATGTCACAAAGTCATATCTAATTTTAAAAAGAACGGCTGTAATGATTGTGGCACAAAAAAAATCACAGAAGAATTTAATTAATTCATTCATTCTATAATTCATTTATTAATTCATTCATTTTAGTTCATTCCTTCCTTTGTTCGTTCATTCATTCATTCATTGTTTTTATTTATTTGTTAGTTTGTTTGTTCTTCATTCAATTATTAATTCATTAATTAATTCAATAATACATTTATTCATACAGTTTAGTTCCTTCCTTTGTTTGTTCATTCATTCATTCATTCATTGCTTCTTTTTATTTATTCGTTTGTTTGCTTGTTCTTCATTCAGTTATTTATTAATTCATTCGTTCATTAATTTTACTTCCATCCTTTCTTTGTTCGTTCGTTCATTCATTTTTTTATTTGTTTGTTCTTCATTCAATTATTAATTCATTCATTAATTCATTCATTATTTATTTGATATTTAATTATTAGTGATCGTTTTATTTCATTGATGCATTATTTTTATTTATTAATTTTATTTATTTATTTATTCATTAATTTAATTATTTATTTATTTATTTATTCATTCATTCATGATTTTTGTTTATTAATTTATTCATTCATTGCTTTAATACAGGAAAGCTGATTCTGAGGTGAAGGCACTGGCCCGACTAGATCACCAAAACATAGTGCGTTACATTACATGCTGGCCAGCTTCTGACAACTGGATGTCAAACCAAGAAAGAGAGCAAGTGTCCAAGTAAGCAGGTCTCCAGCACTTTTGATAAAACATTCAGTGCTTCTCAACAGTGACGGTGAGTCTCTGTTTTATGTTCAGCACACCAGGTTCTTCATCAGATGTAGTGACCTTTGAGAGAGCCAGCAGTGGAGAGAGGGATGATGATGATGATGATGATGATGATGATGATGATGATGATGATGATGATGATGATGATGATGATGATGATGATGATGATGATGATGATGATGATGATGATGATGATGATGATGATGATGATGATGATGATGATGATGACACATCAGGAATGGAAAGTCTGGGTATGAAAGGGTATGTCCAGCATTCTTCTTACAAGACACTTGTTCATTTTGCTCTTATATTTGCTCCTTTTAGGGTAAACTAGAATTACAGTGTGTCAGCTGGTCAGGGGTTTAATTCCCAGCAAATGCAGCTACTGATAAATGTCGCTCTAATGTACTTTAAGTCTCTTTGGATAAAAGTGTCTGCCAAATGCATGGATGTGAATGTAACTGTGTCTGTTCTCAGATCAGCATCTGCTGCTGTGCCCTCAGGAAACAACAGTACTGACAGTTTAGACTCTTCAAATCAGGGAGTTTATTTGTTTGATTGAAATGTATGACATGACAATTGCATCAAAGGGCTCATATAATGAGGAATCAAATCTTCCATGCTCTTTAATAAATAACAGATTGAAATTGTACTGTAACTGGTCCTAATTAAATCAACCAAACTACTGCTCTGCATTTTCCTCTGGCAAATAACAGTGTTACAAATGAGTTGAGGTTTATTCAAAAAAATAAAAAATCCCTGTGCATTTCAGTCTTTGAGTTATTTGACTTGCAAATCGAATCTGAATTATGAATCTGTCATAATGTGATGAACGAGGCTGTTATTGAAGGGTGGAGCAGTTTAAACAATATGAAGCCAGAAGGCAAACCCTGATTTAATGATGTTACACTCATTTCACATTCAAAGAGATGATCATAGATGCAATTTCACGAAATTTCTATATATATGTATATTAGTTGCATTTGGTTTGGTTAGAATTGAAAAATATTTAATTTTAAGGGACAGGCAAAAGAGTTGAAAATAATAAATAAATTATGAATGATTTGGTGCAAGAAACATTGACTCAATAAAGACAAAATGTATGATTTGAAAAAAAAAAGCATGATATTTACATTTAGACATTTAGCAGATGCTTTTATCCAAATAAATAGAGTGCAAGTCTAAAAGGGGCAAGTTTTTTTAAAAATAGAATATAATATAATAGAATTAGAATGATATGACTCATTTAAGACAATACTGTGCATTGCAATGTTCAATACTGACTCATGAGTCATGCCTGTTTTTTGAAATGCATCCATGCAAACAAGCTCATCCACAGAGCCAGAGACATGTTTGTTGCTAGGAGGCAACTTAACGTGTTTAAACAGATAAGCATTTTGACCATGTGTACTTTCCCTTTTAGCCTGATAACATACTGTTTGGTGCTGATGGCAAAGTGAAGATCGGAGACTTTGGGCTGGTGGCGGCTCAGACCGATCAAAATGGTGACCCTATAGAGAGGTCAAACAAATGAACACCACCTGAGTCCTGAACAGGTGACACATTTTTATTGTCTCTAAGAGAAATATTTACACCGTAAGACTTATAGAAATGTATTTGGTGTCCTCTTTTTTTGTACAATAAATAAATGAATTTTAAAAAATCTTTGTTTTCCTTAGAAAAGTAAGAAGAATTATGATGAAAAAACAGACATATTTCCCCTTGGACTCGTATGGTTTGAGATGATCTGGAACATATCTACTGGTAGCGAGAGAGAGAAGGTCAGTAGTATTTCATGACAATCATCCGTAGTGATAGTACGCACAGTTATTTACATTTACATTTAGTCATTTTGCAGACGCTTTTATCCAAAACGACTTACAATTTGGGGATACATAAAGCGATTCTTCTTAAAGAGGCAAACAGATACAGGAAGTGCTTGTAATACCAAGTTTCTAGACATTGTTCAAATAAGTACAAGCTTGAAAGAGAAGGAATAAATAAAGAGAGAGAAATATATATATTTTTTTTATATAATGATGATGATGATGATGAAGTCAAGTAGCTTCGAAAAAGATGAGTTTTCAGCTGTCGCTTGAAAATTGTCAGGGATTCAGCATTCCGGATAGGGGTTGGAAGATCGTTCCACCAGCCAGGAATGGTGAACGAGAATGTTCTGGAAAGTGATTTTGAGCCTCTCTGTGATGGTACCACGAGGCGTCGCTCACTAGCGGATCTCAGACTTCTGGAGGGGATGTAGATTCGTAGTAGTGAGTGAAAGTAGGCGGGTGCTGAGCCTGTGGCTGTTCTATATGCAAGCATCAATGTCTTGATTTGGAAACACATGATAGAGGTGGAAAAGAGAGGACAGAAAAGGAGAGTGTGTACAGGGAAGATAAAAATTATACTTAAGTGGCTAGGCGATTTCGTTGCTCGGTGAAGTCGCGCAGGTAAAGTCGCAGGTCTTTACATTCGTTGGTCTTCACACGAGGAGGCCTGAACGCTTCCGCTGATGGTGCAGCCGTCTGACTTTTCTGTTGACTAATCGCTTGACCCGAGTTATGACAGTGACCAAGTAGTTTAAATACTCTACAGTCGCTGTGGCCTCGCTTGGCCCCTTTATTATTACCCATATCTGCGAAAAACAAACAAACATATTTTAAAGGAATAGTTCACCCAAAAATGGAAATTCTATGAAAATGATCTCACCCTTGGGCCATCTGAGATGTAGATGAGTTTGTTTCTTCATCAGATTTGGAGAAATGTAGCATTGCATCAGTGTCTCAGCAATGGATGCTCTGCAGTGAATGGGTGCCGTCAGAATGAGAGTCCAAACAGCTGATAAAAACATCACAATAATCCACAAGTAATCCACAGCACTCCAGTCCATCAGTTAACATCTGGAGAAGACAAAAGCTGTGTGTTTGTAAGAAACAAATGTGTTTTTGAAACAAATGTGATGTTTTTATCAGCTGTTTGGACTCTCATTCTGACGGCACCCATTCACTGCAGAGCATCCATTGGTGAGCAAGTGATGCAATGCTACATTTTCAAATCTATTCTTATGAATAAACAAAATAAATCCTTTGATTTTGAATTTCTCATTCATTCATTCATTCATTCATTCATTCATTCCAGCTGTGGCCAGATCTACGAAATCAAAGGTTTCCAGAAGGGTTTAGTGATTGGTATCGAACTGAAGTAAGGAACTTGATTTTATCTTCAGATAAATATCGATTGGACCTAGTTGAGCCTATAACTTTATTATGCTTTTCTTTTCTTTCTTTTTTTTTTTTTTTACAGTGTACATTCATCAAGAAGATGCTGTCATATTCACCAGAGCACAGGCCACATTCAAAAGACATAAAAGAAAACCTTCCGAAGTCAGAGAGGTCAGAGAGCGCCAAGATCAATCTCAGACAAATATGTGAAATAACTTTCAGATTTCTACTAGATTTCTTCTAATATATTTTAAATATTTCACAAGTTTCAAAAGTTCAGTCTAATTTTTTTCATCATAAAAAAACATTATTACAATGTTGTGAGGTTACTTGCAGAAATCCGAGTAAGAACGTAATTTCACAACATTTCTATAATGTTGGCTGCATAAAATTAAGATGCATTTGAATCTTAGATGTAATTGCAACTAAAATACAATGTTTCTTAAAGTTACAGTTGTTTGGTTACAGTGTAAACAAACTACAATCAATATGCAATATTGTATAAAGTGAAAACATTTTGTGCTGGCTGAGAAGATTGCTGCTCAAGCTGACTCTCAGCCATCAGGCATTTCTTGACAAATATACTCTGTATGTTGGGTGGAATAAAAAGGGGGAAAAAAGTGTTATAAATATCAACAGACATATTGGATAAAATATTAAACTCACATTTTGTAAGAAATTATGTTACTTTTCTTTCAGTATCACAATGACAAAACAACCATAGGGTTACATTTGAACAGTATTTCAATGCTTTAGTTTGAGAGGATACCATTGTGCCTTGTAAAATATAACACTGGCAGTTTATTAATAAATATATCTGAAAAAAATTACAGGTGTTTATTTGTTTTAATTTTGAACTTTTTTTTTTGAGAGCGAGAGAGAGAGATAGAATTTATTTATTTATTTACTTTATTGACTTAAATAACATAATTCTCCAAGAAGTGACATCATTTTGAGGGGAAAACAAGCAAGTATTAATCAGTAAGTATTAATAATAAGTCTGATGAATTCTGTGATATTGTGTTAAAAGATGGGATGTTTCACTCCAAAACAATCCATCCTGATTGAAAATAATATCAAAATTAATGTTTGTATTCTTATGTAATCACTGAGCTAATGATTAACTTTTATCCGTTAGACATAATGAAGTAGGCCTACTTGCTCAAACGATAACACAAAGCATATTAATTTGCACATAACCTGTACACAAGCACAGGAATAATAATGTGCTCTGTTACAAAACCTTCAACAAATTTCATGTATGTTTTGTCATCATTGTAAATTATTTGTTTCACAATTATTTGATTTTCATGCCTATTGAACTATCCTATATTGTCAAGACATTACCAGTACTAACATTATATTACATATCAAATTGAAATATGTCTCAGTACTATTGTTGTGAACTTTTTAGAATAGCAGTTTTGGAAAAAAAAAAACGTTTTGTGTGTTTAACATTATTACTGCAAGAGACTTTAAGGTTTTGTTTTATAACATGCATACTTCAAACGTTTTAAGTTGACAAATATGCTATTGAAGTATATTAACAACTCTGAAATGAATGTCAGAAAATGTCAACATGTCATAAAACATATATAAAAGCATTTGATAAAAAAAGTAAAATCTAAACATTTGCACATTTTATTTATTTATTTTATTTTTTGGTGCAAACTCAACACTTACTGTGCTTTTTTTTGTCCTTTCATGTAAAAGAGCAGCACGAACATTCTTCAGAATTTGTCCTTTCGCGCTCCACCGAAGAAGGAAAGTCATATGGATTAGGAACAACATGAGGGTGAGTAAACAATGAGAAATATCTCTTGTAACATCATTTGTCTGTTCAAATTAGTGTCCTGGAACTACTGTATAATATTTACTTATTGCAGATTTGAGTTTATATATGTAGCTTTCATTTACCAGAGTAACAAATGCCAACTGTGATTGCACACGTCACTATGAGCCCTAAAGCTTTGTTGTACATCTGAATGAATGGAGGCATTAGACACGAGGACAACACTCTTTTATAATGGATGAGCAGTTACAGTGTGCGTCTAAAGAAAAAGATATGAATGAGTATATTATAGAGGCAAGAACAACATTACTGCCGTTGTTTACTGTACAAGGAGCACATGCTTCTTAAAGGAATAGTTCACCCAAAAATGAAAACGTATTCACCCTCAGGAGTTTTTCTTAATCAGTTTTGGAGAAATGTAGCACTGCATCACTTGCTCACCGATAGATCCTCTGCAGTGAATGGGTGCCGTCAGAATGAGACTCATTGAGAAAATGTTATTATGGATTATGGATTCGTATTTTAGCCGGAAACAACATTTTGAAGTTAAAAACGTATTAATGCTGGATTTGTTTCAGCTTTTGTCTTCTCCAGATGTTAACTGATGGACTGGAGTGCTGTGGATTACTTGTGGATTATTGTGATGTTTTTATCAGCTCTCATTCTGACGGCACCCATTCACTGCAGAGCATCCATTGCTGAGACACTGATGCAATGATAAACAGTCTGTGTCAATCTGCAATAGGTTTCATTCCATCTCTAGACAAGTGATCTCAATGTCTGTAGTATAGAGAATTTATCTTTTATTAATGTAGAAAACAAAGTCTTACAAAGTGCAAAAGCTACAAACTGTACAATCAAACACTAAAAATGCATTTATAAAAACAATGGACAACAAACCAAACCCCTTCATTCACCTCTCAACATTTAAAAATATATACTTTTTTTTTTTTTTGTCTATAGTGATTATTCTGTTAATGCATTATATTGCAGTAGAAAAATGTCTCCAAAAATAGAAATGTTCTGTGGGAGAGTGTCAATAATGTTTTCACAGTTCAGGCCAAGTGAATATGAAATGAATTATTTCCTTTATCTGGTTTTGTTAAACAGGTTTGTGTCCCGAATCTGAACAGAACTGGAATGAAGATAATGATTTTGTTTATGGAGCAGCAATACAAAAATAGAAACGAAAACTATGTTTCACACAGTGGAAAGTTATCATACTTATCTATTATACCTAATATATTAATTCATATATATACTTCTGTATATAATTGACAGTGCAAACTCCGAAAAATAGCTTGTACAGAGTAATTCAGAGATGTTTTGTACATCTGAAATGAGAACTACTGGCCTAAAAGTTGAAAGAATTGAACACCACATTTTTAGCAGCACTGATTCTGGAAATATTTTTCCCATTCATTTTCTCCATAGGGATTTCAATTTAGATATGTACAAGAAATTATATTTAATTTCTTTAGTGAAGCAATGCACTACTCTTCCCAGAGGCATTGCAAATAATTTGAATCAAAAACAACTGTACAATATTAAACTATTGGCTTAGAGTCATTGATTATAAGTATTAGGAGATGTAATACTTTTAACGAATGTAATGCTTTGTAATGAATGTATTTCAGTTTGTGTTTGTACTAGAAATTATGCTTAATTTATTTAATGAGGCCATCAACTACTATTCCCATGATGCATTGCAAATAATCAACTGTACAATATAAAATTATCGACTTTTATTTTTTGAGAATTTTTTTTTGAGTCATTGATTATAAGTGCTGAAATTTTAGGTTTATATTTAAATACAAATATTTAATATTTGTAAATACAAAATATAAATATTTAATACAAAAATTTTAATCAAAAATATTTAAATATACAAGTACTACTATGTAGAATGTAGGGAGGTCGACTCGATTAATTCATTCGCAATGCATCATGGGAGTGAGCGAAACGGTTTCCATGGTAACAGTGACTTCTCTGGTTGATCTCTGGGTAGTGCAATTCAAATCACATTTACACAAAGAAAACACATTATCACACAGAAAACTTTGCACATTAGTGGTAAGAATCTATTTCTTTTTGGAGAAAATGATTGGTAGTTTTGCTTCCAGAGCCGTACTGTTGTATTATATACCGTTGTATTAAATACCATAATAAATAGCGGTTAAGACATCTGTGGTATGTAATATTGCCCATCAGTGATGGGGAATGTGCAAAATAATACCACTCCTCATTGGCAATGTTCTAGTAGGGATTCAACTCCTCTGGTGCTAGATGAGACTCTTCAGCTTCAACGTTTGCGGTGAAACTGTTGTTTCGACAACCCCAATCAGAGCTGTCCGGCGTAAGACTGTGAACGAAAGCAATAGGCCATTAATTAAACCTTTATGGTCAGATTAATGCATTAAATGCATGACGTTAAGTCTAACATTAATCTAATTTAGAGCAGTGCAACTTTCCATTGAAATTTAAAGCTGCAGAAGTAAGTAATTTCAGATGTTTTTGTACAGATTAATTGTAGACTATAATACCAAGAATATGCAAATGTAAAGTAGGCTAAATATTGTAAGTTTTGAATGCTCCTCAAACAAACGATATGATGCATCATATTTGATATTCACATTTAAACATGGTTTTTCTACAAAACTGATGTCTGGTGTTATGTACACTAAATAATCAAGTAAATCTAAGCTGCTTCAGTCCAGTAAGTGTTCATCTTGAAATATTATTAACAATATCGAAGTTATTCATATGTTTGCTTGATAAAAATCAAGATTTGACAGCAAAAAGACACGTGAAGCTCGAGCTGAAGGTGGACGTTTGTGCAATTAGACTAAAAGAGCTTTTACTTGATAAAAAAGTATAAACAATCAATCAGACGACAGAAGGCATGTAGTGGATTATTAAATATGGTGATTAATTTAAGACTAAGTCATACCTGGCTATTATATATTATTGTATCTATGTACACTAACGTTCAAAAGTTTGGGGTCGGTAAGATTTTTTCGAGTTTTTAAAAGAAGTCTCTTGTGCTCATCAGGGCTGCATTTATTTTGTTAAATGTACAGTAAAATGTTAAAATATTATTACAATTCAAAACAACTGTTTACTATTTGAATATTTGTTAGAATGTTATTTATTTCTGTGATGCGCAGCTGTATTTTCAGCATCATTGCTCCAGTCTTCAGTGTCACATGATCTTCAGAAATCATTCTAATATGCTGATTTACTGCTCAAGAAACATTTCTGATTATTATCAATGTTGAAAACAGTTGTGCTGCCCAATATTTTTGTGGAAGAGGTGATACATTTAAATTTTCAGGATTCTTTGATGAATAGAAAGTTCAAAAGAACAGCATTTATTTGAAATAGAAATCTTTTGTAACATTATAAATGTCTTTACTGACACTTCTGATGCATCTTTGATGAATAAAAGTATTACTTTTTTATCGACCCCAAACTTTTGAATGGCAATTTAAATATTGTATGTTAAGAACTGGAAAGTCCATTTAAAAAAGATAAATCTCATACCCGATCCTGAGCCGGCTTACGGACTCTGAAAAAGAAGACCACCAGTGAAGTGGGCAGCAGCTCCCAAACAAACAGGATTACCCCAAAAACCACATATCCAGCGTCGCCCAACATCGACTTCAGATCTGCCTGTAGCATAAAAAAATCAGCAAAATGGCCAAATTCATCAAGACACACTAACACTTTAGTATGAAAACAAACATGCTAAAAGGGTCATTACTCTGTCAAATCAACCAAATTACAAAAACTTCCCCAACTTAATTTTTTTGTCCATAATGTTTCTAAAGAAAGACAAACATAAATGGTAATGAAAGCCAAAATATTAAATATCATGGATGCATATATACTGAATAATCCACTGTTTTGTAGAGGGGGGTCAAAATGACAGAATTTGATGATTCAGAGCCAAATTACAGGAAGGTAAAAATGACTTCAGGAAGATGGCAGTATCATAACGTTATTATTACACAGAGATTGGTAGGTCTATTAGCAAAATCTGTTGATTTTAGCAATCTTTGTTGAATTATATGCCAATGGTGACCGTTCAAAAATGGGAAAAAGCACTTTTCGTGTTTTTTCCTCAAAGTTTGCATGCCTGTTACTCAAGAAGTATTAAAGATTTCTTAATATCCTTTTAGATACGGGTTCTTAAACTTTTCTTTTAGCATGTATAAGGCCTTATATGTGACCCTGTCTGTGAAATCCAGGCTGAAGTCTCAGAATCTAATTATGAGATAACAAGCATCAAAGTTAGATTTCAACCATTAATTCCACTATGATTTCAATCTTTGACATGGCCCTACTCAGTCAATATTAAAGATACAAAGGTTATATTTTCACAGAACGTTCTACATCTTTATAAAGGATGATTTTATGTAGAAAACAGTAAATCACAACAACAAAAAAAGACTTTAGCTGGGTTTTCACATGCAGGCAGGGTCACATATGGTTCAAATCCAGAGATATGTTGATCTCAATGTGGCTCCAGGAGTAAATAGTTAAATTGTACACATTTTCCGTGGTCAAAAACCAAATTTGGGTCACTTTGCATACAGATGATTCCTTTTTTATTTTAAAGAGGAATGTCTGAAGAACAAATCATGTTGAAACCACAAATGTATCGTGTTCTCTGTCAAAACAATTGCATTGAACATACTTGGTCTGATACGTTGTACCAGTCGTAGTCGAATGAGTTGAAGCTCTTGATTTTTGCCAGTGCCAGCACCACTAGGTTGTAACACGCACGGGACGAGTACAGCAGGATCACCGTCGCTCCGATTATAGTCACCTGACACACGGATGTTCCCTGAGCAGAAAAGATGAGACGTGGCGTTCAGCTCAGAATCAATTCTGGTACGAAACACCATTCAATTCTTTTTACAGTGGATAAAATATACTGGGATTCACATTGACTTTATGATCTATTCCACTCCATGGGTGCTTAAACTGTTAACTAAAACTTTAAGTTTAACATGAACTAATCTTGTTTTACTTTTACAATCATGAGAATGAGAGCGAATCATATGAATTGGATATAGTTTATAACTGGTTTGATGTTTGACAACTTTGCAACCCTGTATGTAATATGTGTGTCTGTTTTAATTGATTAATGGAGCATCAGTGTTATTTTAGTATCACTTACACTATTCTATTTTTTGTTAATATTTTGAATTGGATTTAATTTTTATATTTTCTGTTTTCACTTTAATTTTAGTTAACATTTTGGTAATTTTGTGTGTGTGTGTTTTTTTTTTATATGTCTATGTAGTAGACACACACACACACACACACACACACACACCCAAACACACACACACACTCACTCACTCACTCACTCACTCACTCACTCACTCACTCACTCACTCACTCACTCACTCACTCACTCACTCACTCACTCACTCACTTTATTTTCTTTCTTTCTTTTTTTCTTTCTTTACATTTTCCTTCAGTTGGACCTAAATCTTAATTATTGGAATTAATCTAAATCCTTTTCACTAAAATATAGAGAAGTCTGCAAACTTGAAGCTTCATTAGAGTAGAGCCTTTATATTATTTGTGTCTCATTTACACGAGACAGTTGCATCTTTATATAAGTAACTACATAATGTATTAAGTGGCAACTGCAATTTTTTATTTATTTATTTATTTATTGTTTTTAATTTTATTAGAACCAAAATCATAAATATTGGAATTAGTATAAATCATCTTTTACTAAAATATAGAACAGTCTAGAAACTCTAATGAAATTAAAGATTGTCTGTTTACAGCTTTGCACGTAACTTTACTGAGCATTTAAGTTTGATTCATTTTCTTATGTTTTTTCATTTTTTTAATTATTATTATTATTTTAAATATTTCTATTTAGCTTTAATTTTTTATTATTGTTTTAGTCATGTTAATTCTATTAATTGCCAAGGTAACATTTCTAATTTTCTAAGTTTTTCAAGTTTAAGTTTTTCATCTAATATTTATATTTTTAATTAATATTCAGACTGTGTTGGCTCTTTTTAGCTTCAGACTTGTGTTAGCCAGTCCAGTTATTGCTCAAACCTCATAACAGCCTGATTAAATCTCTGGTCTGAAGGGTTTATAACTGTTCTGTTTGCTGTGTTTGACGAACCCCTGGTTTCTCCACGCTCCTCTAGCCACGAGAACCTCTCGGTGTCTGCGACTGTATTTGTGAATTATTGCTGATGAAGCTTAGGCTCTCATTCACATGGCAGCAAGTCAGTGACAAATGCAGCTTGGCCCAGAGGTCATCGTACTCTGAGACAGGGCAGCAAAGGACAGCTGTGAGACAAATCAATCAACAGTGCAATAATAATCACTCAAAGGTCATGTGATCTGGTTATTAGGGAATTAAATGCATATATATATATATATATATATATAGTACTTGTTAAAGGTTTGGAAACATTATGATTTTTTTTTTAATGTAATGTCTGTTCTGTTCACCAAGGCTGCATTTATTTGATCAGAAATACAGTAAAAATTGTGAAATATTATTACAATTTAAAATAAGTGTTTTCTATGTGAATATATAATAAAATGTAATTTATTCCTGTGATCAAAGTTGTATTTTCAGCAGCATTACTCCAGTCTTCAGTGTCACATGATCTTCAGAAATCATGGTAATATGCTGATTTGCTGCTCACGAAACATTTCTGATTATTTATTATCAGTGTTGAACAGATGTGCTTAATATTTGTGCAGAAACCACGATATACTACCATTCAAATGGGCATGTGTGTATGTGCTTTTATTCAGCAAATATGCATTAAATTGATTAAAAGTGAGAGTAAAAACTGACTGTAAAAAAAGTTGATTGATAATAAAAATAACTATTATTAATAACTGAGCACCAATAATAATTGAGCAGCAAATCATTCTTAAAATTCACATTAATATCATTCTTCTTATCACAAAGAATATTTTCACAGAGGAGGAGGAGGAGGAGGAGAACGGGCCCTTTGAGGCTGTGTTGACCTGCTGTGCTGTAGGCTACCTTTAACCCAGCGCTGGCAAACTCCCACGGGATGCTCATGCTGCTTTTTCTGACCTATATGGCTGTTTACAATGAAATGAAATGTGTTACAATGAAACACAGGCTACATATTTATGTAAGCAACTTTATACTGTATAAGTAAGTAGGACCAAATCTGAATTTTTGGAATTAGTATATCTTTTTTTTTTTTTGCATTTCTTATTTTTATTTACATTTTATTTACATCTTAATGATTGGAATTAGTATAAATCATTATTTCATTTTAATGTTCACATTATGATTTTTTTTTTAATGTAATGTCTGTTCTGTTCACCAAGGCTGCATTTATTTGATCAGAAATACAGTAAAAATTGTGAAATATTATTACAATTTAAAA